TGCGTGGACGGGCCACGCTGTGCAGGCGGCTACTCCTGCGTGGACGGCAGCCCAGGAAGAGGCGACCTAGTGCAGGCAAGAGGACGGCGGTGGCGGCTGCAGAGGAGCGTGGCGAGCAGTTCCAAGGGGCAGACGAGCGACCTCGAGGCGCAGAAGGGGCTCCCAGGGACGAGCCCCCGGCGGCCTTGAGGCGGGATGGGCCTGCAGCCATCCAGATGCGCTCTTGGGTCTTCGTGACAGAGCCTCAGCGCCAGGAGGGGACGGAGCCCGCGAGGGGCCGGCGAAGACCACGCCAGCGTGCGCCGAGGGCAGCTGCGCGTCCTCACTCGGCATCTCCCGGCCCCACCCTGGACTCGGCTCAGGACACACGCCCAGGACAGTCGCTCACGTCGCCCTGGACGCCGGCGGCGGGAGACCCACGCCAGGAGAATGAGAGGGGCCACATGTGCGTGTCCCCTCGGGCATCCGTCTGGCTGGCGACTCCCCGTGGCGGGTCCTGGCCAGGCGTCCCCCGGGGGTCCTGGCATGACTGGTCTGAGTCCTTGCACGCCGCAGGACAGCGCCCCTGGGGTCCACCTCGGAGCCCTGCCCGGCCCTGGCTGGGGTCTCCCGGAGGTCTAGACTCCGCCTTGAGGGATTCGTGGAAGCTTCAATAGTTCCAGCTCTTCCCCCACCGGCGCCCCACCCCAGTCCCGGAGATGGAAGCTGCCTCCTGCTGTTACTAGTTCAATGCTGTAAAGATGTCGCTTTACTCTGCATGGCCTAGGTGCCAACTCACGCCAGGCGGCTCAAACACCCAGCGCAACCCGCCGGAAGCACCCCCCTTCTGAGTTACACGCGGCGGAGAGAACGCGCGGCATGAAGTATTGATCAGGGTCCGCGGGGCGTTCTTCCTCGGGCCCTCCCAGCTGCACTCCCCTTCCCACGAGGGTATTGCGCTCAGTGTCTGAACGCAGAGCAGGGCGACGCCAGGCGCCCGTCCTCCCCTCAGCAAGGTCTGGGGATGGAGGCTGAGGGAGAGAAGGCCGCGCTCTCCCCTTCTGCTTTCTGCAGGTGCCGCAACGCTCTAAGAAAGAACTTTCGCAGGCAGGATGCCGCCGGCAGGCAGCTGATGAAGCCAGCCTGGCTTTCCCCTCCTGCTTCCAATACGGAGCGCGAGTGGGCGGGTGAGCAGCCGGCAAAACAAGAACGCTTAAAATTTTCATTTCCAGCCCTGACCCGGGCCATTTGTCTCCTCTCAGGAAACATTACATCTGAATTACCGGCGACAAATGGGGACTATTACATCTCAGAGGTGGTGTGGGGAGCAGCTTCCTCGCTTCTGCTGATTCCCCTTTTCCTTGCAACAACTTTTTCATCAGGAACTCCTGCACTGCCGGATCTAATTCTGCTAGTTTAAGCCCATTCTGCTGGAATCTCAGTCCCGGGGTGCGGAAACCGAGATCAGCTCCGGGGTCCTCCCAACTGCATCTTCACGCCGCGTCTGCGCCTTACTGTCTGCCTGGAAGCCTTGTTCACTTGTTTTCCTGCGGGTCCCCTGCGAGCAGCTCTCCTTCTGGGAAGTCAGACTTCTGGACGTGGGCCGACACAGGCGTGTCTCAGCGCCTTTCGCCTCGGCCTGCAGACGCCGGGGGCATGCGCTGGGCCTCTAACCAGCGCCCCGTGACCCAGACCTGCAGCGGCCTGAGACACCCCGGCTTCTGCTCACTTCAGACCTAAGCAGGGCCTTTTCAGAGGTCAGCTCCCAGCCTATCGCTCCCCTAGCGAATTCCCACTTAGCTTCCAGTTAGGCAGGCTGGTGAACTTGGATACTATCAAGAGGTAGTGAAACTCGAAAACCTGAGATTCGTTATTTCTGCTAATTTCCTTTAAGGATACAGACACAGTGCCAGCTTACCTAACTTTGATCTACCTGTGCAAACAAACGGCTTTCACTTACTCCTCTGGGAAACTGAGCCCCTTGCTGACAGCCCTCCAGAGAGAGAGACGCGCTTTTCAAGGGCAGGGAGCACAGTGTGTGAGCAGTGGGCCCCTATTCTGCTGGGTTTTCAAAGAACGATCAAAGGTCTTTCTCATTTTGGCTTATCAAAGGCTCATGGATCCTGCCACGGGAGAGGAAATTCAGGGGGAAGAGAATTGGCCATTCGCGTTCTTCACTGTCCGTTCAAAGTTGGAACAGAAAGATAAGCAGTGAACGTCTCCCCCAGAAAGGGCGCCCTGGGAGGCCCCGGGCCGGGGCGGGCGGCTGCAGCCCAGAGCGGCTCCCCTCGGGCAGCTGTCTGCAGACTGTGCGGCCTCCCTTTGAGGCAGAGACCAGACGAGGAGGCGCCTCCTCGCGCACTTCAGTTTCCCACGGCTGTGACATTTCACAGAAAGGACAGCAAAGGGGGGCAGAAGCATTTCGGAAGGTCGTGCTTTGTCTCTGTGGCTCTACTTATTTATGTATCTGCTTTTTTATGGGTTGGGAGCGGACGTAGCAAAGGAGAGGCGAGGTTGGAGAGGGGAGAGTATCCGAAGGACATAACTTGACTGTTGGATCCCACCCACAATGCGGGGGCTTTTCGGACCCATTTACTAAGCATATTTCAAGCCTTCCGAAAGCGAACGCCTCTGTCTTATGAAATAAGGCTGCCTGGGGAGATATCCCACATTGTTTTTTTTTTTTTTCTCTATAAATCTAGTTCTCTAATTAGTTTTACAATACAATTTCCCTTTGTTAGTGTAAACTCTGGCAGCTAAGAATTATTTAACTGCAGGATTATATACTAAAGCCGTTGGCATCAAGGCAGTAGGTATATGTTGTTTTTGTATTCATAGAATTGGGCTTCTTAGTAGGGACATTTTCGGCACACTCCACAGCAACACGGGTGGCTGGAAGTGAGACAGGACTTGGGGGCGGGTCACCTTGATAACAGACACTTTGGGCTTGGAAGGCCTGATCATACATCTCCCCAAATACTTCTTGCTGAATTTTAAGTTCTTAAAATGCATTTTCCTTGGAGCATTTCTTGCTTGAAATAGGAGCCACACAGAAATTTACTTTGATTTTGGTCTCTCACAATGCTGCTTCTCCTTACATTCAAATGGAGCGGCTCCCATGAGCTATTTCAGTCTTGAGATTAGATAACATGGAGTGTCAGGCCCCTGACTTCCCTTGCTAGATGAATTTTTCTTTTTCTTTTTTAAAGATTGATTTATTTATGCACAAAGAACTGGGGCACAGGCCAGAGGCGCAGGGGCAGCGAGAGGACTCACCACAGACAGAGTGGGGAGCAGAACAAGCAGATCCACTGAAATATGCTGCTGAGGGAACCAGCGGGGAGACAGGAGGGGTCTGCCGCACCCTGTGGGTCACCTCCGGGGTGGGGATCAAACTCGCGCTGAAGCTGCCAGGGCTGGGCTCAGCCTCACAGTGCAGCGCTCCAACCCGCTGCGCCACCAGGGAGAGCTGCTCGATGAATTTTTCATCCTTACTAACATTTCTCTCACCCACACGCTAAACCTACTTTAATAAGCACATTTATATAGCATGCTTCATCTTCAAGCACTTTGTGGTTATGTTGCGGGAGTCAGCTCACAACAACTGAAGCTAAATGATTAGTAGCTGATAGAGATGCATTTATGCAAATTGTAATTACAGAGTCTAGAAAGGACCCTGAGGTCTTATCACCTTAAAAACCAAAATAACAACACTGTTGAAAATAAATCATAATGCACTAATCAAATATCATCACAATCCCACTCTGGCCCTCATGCCCAACGTGCATATTATAAACCTCACTGACGAGTGATTATATATCAAGGGATTAAAACCCTCAGAAATTGAATCTGAACAGCAGACATTAGAGTGTGGTATAAACCGTCTTTCTGATCCGGGAATGATTCCATGTTGCACAGACCGACAGCCGGCGCTACTGTTATGTCATCATCATTTTAGGAGCTGTTCAAATAACCGATCGGTTCACTGTGACTGGTGGCCTGATGGTTTTTAATGCTCGTCTGTATCTTATCAGAAGCTAAACCCTACACATGAGGAACACACAGCAGCTCTTTCTTTCATCTTCCTTTCATCTGTATCACGTTGAATGAAATAAATGACTGATCCTGAAATTTTAAGCAAGTCGACAGAGATATAAAGCTCCACTTTTATTTGAAGAAGTTTCCGCTATGTAAAAATAGCAAAATTTTATGCATTATTGTTCAGAGGAAAGACTAGAAGAATAATTCTAATTGGCTACTTCATCAGTTCCCATTTACTTCTTTTAAAAAGCCCAGAGCCACTAAGGAGTTTCAGGAAAATGAAACCTAACCAAATTAGTGACCCAAAAATAAGATACGTCACATTTCAATAAACAATTGTGTCTAATCGTGAAGAGCATGTACTCACTTGCCAAGTGCAAAGCACTCCATCCTAACGGTCGTTCCCTTCGCGGCTGGAAGCGCAACTGGAAAATGAACCTCGATTTTCGGCTCATACTCTCCCATCACACCTGGGAAACAGAGAATAGTCTTTAAGCATAAAATGAACGACACGATTTATTTCCAGTACTGAAGACGTCACCCGGCTGCACGGCGGCTGGGTTGGCGTGGTCTGTTTGGTGACTGCCAACGCTTGGCTGCATCGATGTAAGAAGGACACTTAGACTCGGCTCATCGTGGTGACATCCTAGCCCGCCTTCACAAATCGCAAAGGATGTAACTTAGCACTATCTGAAATAACAATTGATGAAAGTGTCCACACTGGTGTTTCACTTACTGATTGTGCACCAGAGGAAATAAATATAGACATTCTTCAATGTTGTGATTGTGCCGACCTCCTCATGGAATCAGGACTTTGTTTGCCAAAGAAATAAAGACTTGCCGATTAAATTAACGTCTATTTAGTGGGTATCTACAATATGCAAGGCATTTTGCTAGACATTGCAGGAATAACAATGCTTTAGTATCCGATATAAAGTATTTAGATGTCAAACGATACTGAATGCAGACAAGCCAGTTATGGAGCGTGCCGTCCACCTCTGACTGGTACCCACTTACACAGCGGGGAGCACACACGCAGGCTGGCGCAGAGCTACATGGCGGCGCTCCTGTGAGGCAGGCAGGCAGCGACGCGTGCGTGAGTCTGTCGCTGGCGTGTCCACAGGGGTAGACTGTGATAGTCAGGGGAGGTGGGAAAGGCAGGGACGGCAGTGAGCGGGAATGTGGGAGCAAAGGCAAAGTGATGGGCTGCGTGAGAAACAGAAAGATCCGTGTTTCCGTCACGGCGGCAGGGAAAGGAAACAAGGAAAACTCTGAAGTACAAATGGAGCCCAACGGTCAGAGGCCGTGATGGTCAGCGGAGGGCGTTCAGGCACAGTGTGTAAGTGACCGGGGCCACTGGGGCTTAGAATGGGGCACTGGATGTCCAGCGGTGCTTGTCACAGGTGGACCCAGGAAAAGGGAGGTTCCGGCTCCCTGCCCCACCCAGAGACAGCTGGAGCTGAGTAGAGGAGAGGAGTCCTGAGGCGTCTGAAGAGAAGGAAGCGGATGGAGCCAGAAGGTGACCTGAGGGAGGCCCCGGCGCTCCATCCGCTTCCTTCTCCCCAGACGCCTCAGGACTCCTCTCCTCTACTCAGCTCCAGCTGTCTCTGGGTGGGGCAGGGAGCCGGAACCTCCCTTTTCCTGGGTCCACCCTGTTTTGTTACAGGGCTAACTGGTAACTTCACATTATTGCAATAGGTGAGTTCAACCTTCACAAAGACCTGGGCTGGAATTGCAGTGTTAAGGAGACAGAGGAGACACCTGATGGGAAACACAAAAGAAGCCTGAGTGTGGCCCCGGGGGTGCCAGGGGTTGGGGGTGGCCTCAGAAGAATGACACTAAGCTTCCCAGCTTCGGGCAGCTGATGTCACCGGACTTAAGCAGTAACTACCCAGGAAAGCTGATGGTTTTCATCTCAGGGGCCCCTCACAGTGGGTGTGAGGCCTCCCTGGGCTTAACGCGCAGCACTGTGAAGCTGTCCTCAGCCCCTGCAGCACCAGTTCGACCCCCGGGCAGGGAGGGACACCACAGGCAGGGCGCAGCAGGCCCCCCTGTCTCCCCACCGCCCCCCAGCAGTGGCTTTCAGTGGATCCACCTATTCTGCTCCCCACTCTGTCTCTGGGGAGTCCTCTCACCCCCTGCACCTCTGGCCTGCACCCCAGTTCTGTATGCATGAATAAATAAATCTTTATATATATATAAAGTCCTGACAAGGAGGTGTCACCTTTTGCCACCTTGAAATGCAGTCGGAATAACTGGCTCTTGCGGATTTACTCGAGGTACACCAGGCATGAGGAGGCTCTCTCTAGACACCTGTTGCTCTCTAACAATTGAGTCATTTCAGCAAAAAAAAAAATTGTTTTGCATTTCACGGGGCAGCTGTTTGCGAGCCACCGTTCTGGTCAGTGCAGCTCACTAAGCCGGAAGGGCCAGGTAATTGGCCCGAGTTCTGGAGGAAGCTATTGGTTGAAATTGGTCAAAAACAGAAATTTTCTGGCCTTAAAGCCAGGGATGTTTTCCTGCCATCTCTGCTGAGGAATTTCAATCACAGAGTGTCACAGCCCGGCAAACTGCACACACTGTGTCCATCGCTGACCGTCCGCCATGGCCACCTGGCCCGTTTCTGTTGCGGCTTCTATGCCCGCGGGGCAGGTGCAGTTTGCTTGCCATCTCTTTCTTTCTTTCATTCTTTTTTTTTTAAATATTTATTTATTTATTCATACAGAACTGGGGTACAGGCCAGAGATGCAGAGGGTGAGAGGCTTCACCAGAGACAGAGTGGGGAACAGAACAGGCAGATCGACAAAGTCCACTGCTGAGGGGAGCAGCGGGCGGGTCAGGAGAGGTCTGCCGCGCCCTGTGGGTCAGCTCCGGGGCAGGCGGGGATGAACTCGTGCTGAAGTGGCTTTAGCTTCTCAGTGCTGCGCTCTAACCCGCTGCGCCCCCAGGGAGGACCCCACTTGCCATTTCTTTTGTTGGCCAAAGTTTGGTGATAAGGCGAAGGGAAACTGCCTCCCAACACACACAAAGATCAAAATATTAGCTTCATCCTCTCGGTCAAGGAAGCTCCTTTCGGAGACTCCTAGTATTGAATTAAAATTGCTCCAAGGGCATCCTCTCTTTCTCACACCTCTCTCCTGGTCCCTTGGTCGCCTCCTTTGGAATCACATGCCATTAGAAGATGACCCCAAAGTACCCTAATTCTTACTACACAGAAGCCTTCCAGCTGAGGGCACATTACTTGCCTTCAAAGCATTCATGGCTGTTGATTTTCTTACTTATTCCACTTACAAAGAGCTAGGGTGTTTTTCCCTAAGTGGAAGGGGATTTACAGCAGACTTTCTCCAAGAGAACAGAGATCCTCCAACATCAGAACAATCAGTAAACGCTACTAAAATTTAGGCTACTGGGTCCAGCTTCATGCCTGTGATAAGTAGTTTTGAAAGGTGGGGCAATGGCACAGACCTAAAACTTTAAAAATTCTCCAAGCAATTTTAGGTCTGCTAAAGAAAGCAAAGCTTGATCTTGACTTGATTCTTAATCTTATCAGGCAGACTGAAATATGGGCGGTCCGTAATCACATTGACCTCACTGAGACTCAGCTGTGAGGCAAATGATATTCCACTCTTGTGCACTGGAGTTCGCACTGGGGGTGGGGATTTCTCTGATTACCCCGTGATCAGGTCTGACTGGCCAGTGTTCACGGGAAAGCAGCCTCTGGATATTCCATGTGACATTTCTGTCCAACACTCTTAGTAACAATACTCATTCTTAGGGTTAAGAATTCCTGTCCAATAAACCTTAACATTTTGTATTAACTACTAAGTTAAAAAGATTTGATTGATCAGTTTCTTACATCCCAATGATGGGTATTTACATTTTTACTTTTAACATCTTCAACAAGTTTCGCCCAGTGTCTGGCTGGATTTTTTCAATCATGGCATCGTTTCCCAGTATGTGAGCTCAACAGGAGTTACTGCCCACAGCTCTATCTCCCCCGGTGGAATCACTAACTTGGGCCAAAGCTGGTCAGTGGGATTTCTGAAGTAGGTATGAGAGAGTCAAGGTCTTTTTCCTCCTTGGTAGCAAAAAGAGCTTGCACACCCTACATCTGCTGGAGTTTGCACATGTGGAAAGAGGTGGCCAGGCAGTGACGAGCATGTAGAATCATTACTAGAGCTGATATTGAGCAAAACTTGTCAAAGATGTTGAAAATAAAACTGTAAATACCCACTATTTGGATGTAAGACAATGATCAATAAAAAAAAAAAAATTTTAACTTAGTAGAGTTAAAAAAGTTAACAAGATAGAGATGAAGGAGAGAGAGTGTGATGACAAGATGTCACCGTCAGCTGAGACTTGACTTCTTCCTTAATCTTATGTAGCTGAGAGCTAATCTCAGTTCAGTAAAATAAATACCCTATCAAGCTGAGACTTCTCAATGCAGTCACAAAGTTCTAACTGCTCTCTTTCTGGGTTTAAGCTGACCAGCGGTGACCCCGTGTCAGCGTCTTTCTCAAAACTCATCTGGCTTTCAAGTCAAGCGTATTGAAGATGCAAGGCAAAGGTCAAGACACAGTAGTAGTGGTGCAGGGGACAGGGAGCCCCGCAGACCCATAGGTAAGCTTTGCCCTAATTTTGAAGATCGCCGTTTTCGTAGAGATTTTAAATTCCAAAAGAAGATCTAACAAACCACACATTAGTAAAGAGGACAGTGAACAAACAAACAAACAAACAAAGAACCAGCCAGATAAAGCACTCTGGCAGTTGAGAGTTTGACTGCAAGAGGGCACTGGGCTGGAGGCTGTGGGCGGGGAGGTTGGCCCACCGGAGGAGGCTGATGCCTACAGAGGCGGCATGATCTCCTTTGGGGAATTTTGTCAGGAATGTAACTGCATTGCACCGACTGTAGAGGGACAGTGAGAGAGATTCCAAATCTGAGGGGGGATAAACACCAGCTAGGGCCGCTGCGTTCCGCCCCGATTCGCTCGTGCCCAGAGCGGCTGGCAGCTGGGTGGGGTTCCGTGCGGCAGCCAGCAGGCACCTAGCTTGATTAGGGCTGAGGTCACACAGGCCCCCTGCGGTGAGCGACTACAAGGGGCAAACGGGGGCGAACGGAGCGCTCTGAGGAAGAGGGCGCAAGAGCAGGGAGAAAACCAAAGCGAACGCCCAGACTGGCCTGCAGTGAGCTGTGCACCCGCGAGAACGGCCCACGGCCGGGCAGCACCTTCCAACCAAAGGTGTCAAAGTTACCAGTGACGCGTCTTCAAGGCTGTGTCCCCACAAACACAGATGCGACCTTCCGAATTGTTTTATTTCCAAGCACCGGAATATCCATGTTACTGTCATCACAGTGTCTTAAGAAAGCACAGATGTGTGGTTATTTTGCTGTGAAAACCTCCTGCACGGAAACGAAAGCCCTGTGACACGTGGTGACAATGCTGGCTGTGAGAATGACGTCAGAAACCTG